CGGAGATGCTGTTGGGAATCGGCACGCCGAGCGCTTTCGGGACCCCGGGCCCGGGACTGGGCCGGGGCTCGAGGAGGGGCCGTGGCCGAAGATGCGCCCCCGCCGCCGAGTGTGCGGCTCAGAGGGGCCAACCTTGCCTGTCAGGGGGACGGACTGTGCTCAGGCCGAAAAGACGTCTCCAGTGACAAGCTCACCGTGATCACAACAGGCCACCTGGGGAAAGCGAGCCCAACAGCCTAGAAGGATTCTCTTCTGCGGGATGACTTCCTCCTCTTAGACTCCACTGTTCAGAGATACATTACAGATTTTAAAATGACTTCAGTAGGGCGAGAGGAGGCAGTTTCTCCTTTCTCCTAAACACCCAGAGAATGATCCTTCTGCGTCTCTATCAACTCTGAAATCAAAGCACTAAAATCTTCTCTCAACTTGTATTTTTACGGCTGTGAGTGTCACTTGGTTTGTCCCAGGGTTGGGGATTCCTACTTCATGATAACTAAATTGTAAGTGCAAGCAATTATGTTAAATCTCATATCCTGTGAATAAATTAAAGGAAATATACTTAAATTGTACGTGTTATATTTCAAGAATACAAAAAAAACAAACAACCACGCTCATTTGTTCATTCCACAAATCAACGCTTCATGCTTTTTAGGTGGCAGGCTCATAAATATGGTCATTGTACAGCAGTAATACTTTGAAAATAAAAACAAAAGATCGATATCTGCTGAAACGTTTTCAAACGTGTGGAAAATACTTGTCATGGCTCCCGGAATCGTTGGTGTTTGACTACCTTGTAAACCATTAGTTAAACTACATTTCAGCTATGCAGTGTAGAAAAGCAACGCTTTTATATGCCTTGAATATTCTGTAACTGAAGGGTTTAGGAATTATGTTATTTACTGCTAAAAATCCCACTGAAATCTCCAATTTAAGTGATTTACAGCTCTTGGTGGGTAAACATTTCTTTTGAGGTTATAAAACACCTTTTTCTGAAGAGTAAATTGTTAATGTTCTTTTTAAAAAATATTTTTCTTGATTTCAGAGAGGCAAGGAGAGGGAGAGAGAGATAGAAACATCAATGATGAGAGAGAATCATTGATTGGCTGCCTCCTGCACACCCCACACTGAGGATGGAGCCTGAAACGTGGATATCCGTGACCTACTGGTTCATAGGTCAACACTCAACCCCTGAGCCATGTAGACTGGGCTGTTAATGTTTTTTGTTTCCTTTCTGGTAAAATGGAAATAGAGATACCAATACTCAAATGATGCTTATTTTTTATTTGATAAAAAATGTAGGAGTCCTTTAGGAGAGAGAATATATAACATGTTTCATAAGAATACTCAGTATGTCTCATTACGACATCCTTTCATATGTGAGGTGATACAGTGCCAGACTATTCTGTATATTACTCAACAAAATGCCTGCCACTGTCTGTTAACATGGAAACTTCTCTGTTCTCCTTTCATTACCCTGGAAATGGGAAGGAAAATATTTTTGAAAAATGGCAAACATAAAGTTCATCTTTGTAAGTCTAAACAGTTGAGAAAATGTCTTATAAACAGGTGCAACATGTTTTAGTTGTCAATTGTGGTCACTTCTCCCCTATCTGAACATATTTATGAATATGTGAAATCAGCATGTTAATAATTAAATCCAAATTTGAGACATACAAGTGAGAAAAAGGCAACAAAATACTCAAAACCAAGCTTGTCACACTCACTCAGAAACAAATCCTCAGTGTTTTCTACTGAAGATGTCATCATCCTCGCAGTCACATAAACTTGATTTGTCATCTTCAGTTCCTCGCGTTCACCCTCTGGTCACTCAGCTGCCCCAGGACCAGGCACAGGTGGGACTGCTTATCATGGACTGAACTGTGGAAAGATCTTTTAGGCCCATAACCCCAAAAGGCAATGTGTTGGCTACCTTGACACTTAACTGCTTGGGTTACTGACATGCATATCTACCCCGACTTCTCCATCCTTTAAATGACTGTCAGGTTTTCCCACCATAGTTCTCGTTATTGCTGTCATCTTGGTTAGCACCTGGACCTACCACTATTCCTGTTCCGCCTTCCTGGCACCTGTAACACCCACACAGATGATTCATCCATGCCCTGGCCTCTACATGACCAGATGAGCTCCAATTGTTTTCTCTCTCTTTACATCTCAACTATCAAATCATATGGTCAGACTCCAGACACTGTCATCACCAATGATGGCGCTATATGCAAATATTTGATTTCAAATATCCTGTTCCCTGGTATAATCCCTTCCTATCCATAGCATTCCACTACCATCACCCTCTATCACATCACTGTTTTACTTTCTTAACTGCACTTAACCATATCTAAAGAGCTTTAAAAAATATAATCATTGCCTTTCTTCTGACCAGAATTTAAGCTCTTTGAGGACAGGGTCTTTTTCTGTCGAGTCACTGTTGTCTCCCCAGAGACTTGCACATACTAGATATTAGTGCATTTGTTGACTGCCACCCCTGTGGGATCATCATCGATCTTGGGAGCATAATCGATTTTGGTTTTCCTTCTCCTGCACCAGCAGGAGAGTGCATCCTGTAGTGATAATGTTATAGGTGAAGGGGTCCATCCTCTCTAGTGAGGGGTTCGTGATGAGCCACATCTTCTGACAGCACATCATTGTGATTCCTCCAGTAGTTCTCAACCTTCCTAATGTCGCGACCCTTTAATACAGTTCCTCATGTTGTGGTGACCCCCAACCATAAAATTATTTTCGTTGCTACTTCATAACTGTAATTTTGCTACTGTTATGAATCGTAATGTAAATATCTGATATGCAGGATGTATTTAGGTGACCCCTGTGAAAGGGTCGTTCGACCCCCAAAGGGGTCGCGACCCACAGGTTGAGAACCACTGCTCTACACAGTGTCGATCAGTCAGACACCCTGATAAGGAGAAATGCAGGCAGGCCTGGCCTTCACTCCACACCCTCGGCAACAAACTGGAAATGTGTTCTTAGAGCTGTCACTGCTCAGTGCTATGGGTACTCGCCCCTACAGGAAAGAACAATGGGGTCATGGCGTGGTATTTTACTGTATTTTGTACTGCCTCCAAAACATATTGCTTTTTTTCTTTTTCTTTTATTTTTTATTGTAGACATTATTTTAGATGTCCCCCATTTTTCCCCCCTTTGCCCACCTCCACTCAGACCCAGCCCCCCTCTCCCTCAGGCAGTCACCACACTGTTGTCTGTGTCCATGAGCTATGCATGTTCTTTGGATAATCTCTTCATCTTTTTCATCCAGTCTGCCCCACCTACCTCCCCTCTGATATCGGTCAGTTTGTACCAATGTATTCAGACCTCTGGTTCTATTTTGTTCATCAGTTTATTTTGTTCATTGGATTCCACATATAAGTGAGATCATATGGTATTTGTCTTTCTCTGACTGGCTCTTTTTTTCTTAGCATATTAATCTCCAGGTCCATCCATGCTGTCACAAAAGGTAAGAGTTCCTTTCTTTTTACAGCTGCATAGTATTGTATTGTGTAAATGTACCACAGTTTTTTTTTATCCACTCATCTACTGATGGGCACTTGGGCTGTTTCCAGATCTTAGCTATTGTACGTTGTGCTGCTATGGACATAGGGGTGCATACATTCTTTCTGATTGGTGTTTAGGGTTTCTTAGGATGTATTCCTCAAAGTGGGATCACAGGGTCAACTGGCCATTCTATATTTAACTTTTTGAGGAAACTCCATACTGTTTTTCATAATGGCTGCACCAGTCTGCATTCCCACCAGCAGTGTACTAGAGTTCCCTTTTCTCCACATCCTCGCCAACACTTGTCATTTGTGGATTTGCTGATGGTAGCCATTCTGACAGGTGTGAGGTGATACCTCATTGCTGTTTTAATTTGCATCTCTCTGATAATCAGTGACTTTGAGCATTTTTTCCCATGTCTCTTGGCCATCTGTATGTCTACTTTAGAGAAGTGTCTGTTTAGGTCCTTTGCCCAATTTTTAACTGGATTGTTTGTCTTCCTTTTGTTAAGTTGTATAAGTTCCTTATATATTTTGGATATTAACTCTTTATCAGATGTATCATTGCCAAATATGTTCTCCCATACAGTGGGCTCCCTTTTCATTTTGTTGATGGTTTCTTTTGCTGTGCAGAAGCTTTTTATTTTGATGTAGTCCCATTTGTTTGTTTTCTCCTTAGTTTCCTTTGCCCTAGGACAGTGGTCGGCAAACTGCGGCTTGCGAGCCACATGCGGTTCTTTGGCCCCTTGAGTGTGGCTCTTCCACAAAATACCATGTGCGGGCACGCACATACAGTGCGATTGAAACTTCGTGGCCCATGTGCAGAAGTCGGTATTTTGTGGAAGAGCCACACTCAAGGGGTCAAAGAGCCGCATGTGGCTCATGAGCCGCAGTTTGCTGAGCCG